TGCACACCGTGTCCCACGTTCCATGCCGTGTGAAATTCGCTGCTTCATATTACATTGCCGTTGTCGTGCCAAGAGAGCAGTGCAGTCAGTGCAGGGTATAACTTTATCCTCGCTGGTAACCCTAACCCCCTAACCCTTTAAAACCTGGCCTTTAACCCTGTGCCTTAACCCTCCATTGAGTGCGGTGGTGGCAGTTCAGCACGGAAGCTCAAGCGTGGCCGGAGGAACCCAAAGATTGTCGGGGACTGCCGGGGGGGGGAGGGTGGTAAAGGGTGCAGAGACGCCATGGGGTGGCAGCCGTAGTGTCTGTAGTTCCCTGCGTCACTCGTGGAACCGTATCCGATTGCACCCGTTGCGTGACCCCGGCACCAGCCAAACAGCAAATTAAATCAAATTGAGTCTTAATAGTGTATTCATAAATGTCACGATGTTATTGCAAAGCGATTACAATTGATAAAGTAGTAATCCGCGTGTCTTTGCGCCAGCTCGCACACTTTGGCGTCTGCTATCTGCGGCTCAGTGCGGTTTCTTTCCATTCAGAACTATGACCGCCCCAGATGTGGTTTGTTGACCCAGGCTTCTGGTTTTATCCAACTTTTAACATTTTGAGCACCTTGCCTGTTCTAGTCATTTTAAAAATGCCACGGTGTGTAGCATATCGCCCTCACTTACGCGACTAGGTATTTTATTTTACACAATACAAGACCTGTTGGTCAACTCATGTATGGGGGGGGGGTTATTTTATCTAAACAAATTGGAGAGCAAAGTGATGTAACATATTTAAATGATCTCTAATTGTTTTTGTCAAACAAACCGTCAAATTATCTTGATTTCTTGCCGAGTACGAGCTATAATCGCTGGATAGTTATACTGAACAATATGAAGTTTATTATTGCTTAATGTTGGTTTTCATTTTGTGGAAACTTTTTACATTATGCTCTTTGGTAGTACAAACAAATATCTGGATATCTTCCAGTGTATGTCTGGTTGAAAAACTGATATGTTCCTTTGACAGTGTGCTTTGAGACTGGGTCTACCTCTCCATAGCGTTTGCATGTAGATATACTGTTTTAATAATGAGCGATTTGCCCTGGAGGTGTACTTTGTATGTGTCATAACCCCTGTAAAGCCACCTTATTGCATTATTTCATCGCAGCTCTGTTAAGAGGAATCATAAAGCAGAGTTTCTGCTCCGCGGCCTTGTTTTTCGTGGGTCGAGAAGTGTACTCGTTTTAAAAGCCACGCTTTAAAGGCCAGTATAGTGTTTTTTTTTTTAAATGGCAGACAGATCCGTAGTGTTTGCTCACACTTGGCTGTACGCTTACGGTAGCAACAAAACAAGCCGCACACACATGAGTGAGTGCCACAGCCTCCTGTATAGTTTGAACCTTACACTCCATTGATGCAAATAGACTTTTTGTAGGTGGAAGAAAATAAACGGGTCTCGTGGACATGAACTGGTTTGGCCAAATCGGCTTAAACTGTTTAACCTGTTTTGAAGACAAAATCTGCATCCCTGCGATGGGTTCTAATTAACAACATTTTAGGAAATGTTTTACCCGCAGAAGATACGTTTGTGACCATAGGATTGGTCCTGGGCCTCTCCGAGGTCGACTCAGCCTCAAATAAGTACCTGGTGCAGTGTGTAAACATTGCCACTTGGGAGACAAAGACGTGGTGTTTGCCCACCCACCCCCTCGTGCACCGTGTCGGCTTTGATAGGTAACAGCACTTTACCCAACAGTCTTTTGAGACTATATGGGGCGTCTCTGTCCTCCGATCATGACGTGCATATCACATGACATCACCATACTTGGCCAGTAAATGGTCTAATCGGCTAATTTTACTTTTGTTTCGTGTTAAAGGTTTTGTGGCTGATTGTGGATGCCTTTTTTCCATAATTTGCATTAACTTGGTTTAATATCCTGTTGTGTATGAATAAGCGGCGTTTCATCCGGCAGACCTGAAGGGGTGGTGCAGAGATCATGCTTGCGTTTGGTTCAGATGCACTTTCAGTGCATGCAAATGCGAAAGGGGAAAGTAAATTTCCGCAATGTATGCAACAGCAAGTTATTTTTCTAAGACGTGCATTTTCGTGAGTTATTTATGCTTTTGGCCCGTTATTAAATCAATGTACCTAGAAAGTCTGCACATAATACTGTCAAGTTTTGTTGACAAAGCACAATGCCTTTGTGTGATAAACTAATTTTTGGTGAAAGAGAATTGAGGCCTGTGGTTTTTCATAGGCAGCCAGACATCGTTTTTGTTTTTTTTACATGAAATATTTATGTTCGCACTTTATAATGTGCTACGGAAAATGCCAGCTGCGCTGTATTCCTGTCTGTGGAGGGTTTGTCAGCAAAAGTTGGCGTGAAGTCTGTTAATTTCCTTCCAGGCTGCGGAGTGTTGAGATTAACTCTAATGTATGAGAGCTTTCAACCAAACCAGGAATGTTGGCTATGCGACCAGGTCTGAACCATTTTTGTGGATTAAAAGATTAATTAAAAAGATAAATAGATGTTCCTTCATTTCATCTTTTCTGTTTGGAGGTCATTTAGTTAACTGGGCTTATCCATCTGCTGGCTACATGCTTCGATATATCAGTATATGCTGAAACTTGATACGAGCCATTTTCATATTCACTTCTATAATACCATGATCTGGTACTGAACGGTTATTTCAATGGTAAGCAACGCACGTTGCGTAATATATACGCACACTTGCTTACGACCAATGTGCGTGGCGGCGTACAACCGCGGCACTGTACACGAAACCATGCTTCCATATTGGGAAATGCCTATTATTAAAATAGGTTCAAGTTAGTGTGTCGCGTGTCACACAAGATAAACTCGCACTCTGGCAAGAGTTTGGCTAAAAAAAGTAATGCGCTCTACTCAACTCCTTCATACGATAGTCTAGCGAGCGCACTTTTAACTCTCACGGCAATTAAAATAACTAGACGTGTAGTTTCCAGCCTTAGTGAAATGTCAACGTTTAGCATTTAGACTTTTGCACTGTTTTTAATCGGTGGACATTACCTGCTATGGCTAGTGGATCAGTCAAACTTACATTGATGATAAAAACATAAATCAAGCTCAAAATTGCTTAAAGAAGCATGGGGACAATGGCGGAGCCAGGATTTTCAGGTGGTGGGGGGGGGGGGGCAACCCCTCCAGCAATGAAAAATTATAGAGGAGTTAGTAAGTAAGGAGTTGTTAGTAAGCAAGGAGTTGTTAGTAAGTAAGGAGTTGTTAGTAAGTAAGGCGTTGTTAGTAAGTAAGGAGTTGTTAGTAAGTAAGGAGTTGTTAGTAAGTAAGGACTTGTCCCTTGCTTTTTATTCGTCGCGTGTGCGGCGATGGCGCAACCATCGATCGAGGGTCGAATTCGAACCGCGTTGTGTGATCGGCATCGCGCTCGCTGAAGGTGTTTGCCTTCAGGGAGGTCGTGTGTACTGTATACGCAACTGCGCACAATTCTGCCGTTACTTATTGCCAATTATGGACTCAGACTATTATTATATCATCTCATAGAGTCCCTGACACAATAATATGCTACACAGTGGCAGTGGGGGTCGCAAAATGCCGATTTATTACTAATAAACCCCAATGATCCGATCGAAATAAGGAATTTCGATCGGATCATTGGGGGGGGGGTGGCACATGCCCCCCCCCCCCCCCCCCCCCACGGGCTCCGCCAGTGCTTGGGAAGAACTACTTTCTTGCCATTGAATTGAGAGACAGAACATGAGCGCACACGTAGGTTAGAGGTATCAGTGTTTATAAAACTACGCCAGCTTGAGTAGGATGCCAATATAAGGGATGATGGTCGGTGGTCAAGACTAAAAATGGAGCGGCAGCCAAGGGAGGGAACGCACCCGAGCAGACGTTCATCACATCGCCGAGAGATGGTGACGGCTCGGACGACGATGATGAAAACCGCACTACTAAGTCAGGGAATAGATGGCACAGTAGTCTAACTTGGGCTACCTGGCTGTGGAGCCGATTCCGCGTCACTGTTCTACACACACTCCTGCCCTCCTGCCACCAACACTAGGGCACCAACTAAAAACAACTCAGGTCAGTACTGGCTCAAACGATGTGGGCCCTAGTTATAGCCAGGGTTTTACAGAACGCCAGCTTACATGATAGCATCATTATTATACATGTACAGGCCATTGGTCGCTCCACTGCTGGATAAAGAGGCTCTCCATGCCATGTTTGTTGTGGAGGTTCTTTGACAGTGCTTGGGCAGAGTGGACTGTGGGTTTGTGAAGACGGGGAAGAGCGTAAAGGTACAGTAAGACGATGCATTTTACTGCTCTGTCCTGTGCTGTAACTCGTATAGCCCCACAGCCTGTAGCAACTTGTTATACTTGGTGGTTACCCATCCAAGCACTATGCAGGCTCAACATTGCTGATCTTTGGAAGCCTACCAGGATCGGGCACCTTTCAGCTGATTTGTTCACTGCCAGCGTCATTGGGGGCAGCAACATAGCCTTGGTGTTTGGAGTTGGCCATTAAGACAAGTATTTTATTTCAGGGAAAGATAATGCGGTACATTTGATATTGTTGTAGCACAGGTAGAGAGAGACGTGTGCTCTGTTATCTCGAAACATAACTTGCCAAACAATGCAGAGTGTATTCTAATCTGTCTGCGCGTGTGAATGACAGCCAGGCATTTACAAGTGCCATCCTTATTTGTTTTTACGTTTTCTGACCCTTGCTGGTTTCTGCAGTGGTTATTATTGTATCGGTTTGTTAAATTACTGTTTTACGTTACACATTGTACGCCTTTACAAGATCATCTTTACAGAGAACGAAATGAGTGTTATGCAAATAACACTACAGAAGTTACAAATGTACGGTTTATTAATTGCTGAATAAGCGCTTTATTGTATTTTTCATTGAAGAGCGATTTAAAAATCACAGGCATTTGCTAACTGAGCCATATGCATTGGGAGTTTGACAGTAACGTTGTACCCTTTCTTTTATCTTCTCCAGCATTCCCTGTCATCCCAACCGACCATCCGCTTTGGAGGAGGCAAAGGGGTGAGTTGATCGTATTGGCCGTGTTTGCCGACCATCTGTATGGCACGCTGGGGAAACGGTCTGCCGAGGTCCTTCACTCTGTGTGTGTGCGTGCGCGCCTCTGTACATGAAAGTGTCCTTGTCAAGATGTGCCACAGTGTGGGCCAAACCATTAACTGTTGAGTGACAAGCCAAGCATGTGCAGTGCATCGGTTGTGTTGAAAAAAAATGGCATGTTGCGTTAAATCCGCTCTATTGATTGCCGTTATCCATTTGTCCTAAAATTGCGTGTACTGTTTGTAGTGGTTAGCACACGGTGCCAGCACTCTTGAGTTCGATACCCAGTCATGGCCAACGTCGGCAGTCGTGAATTCCACTTCACCGTTCCACACTAATCAGCTTAGTGAAGTTTAGTAAAACAAAACCATTGTGGGGAGACCTTAGTCTAGCAGTGGATTGGCAAAGGGTTGTACATTATAATTTACATTTTTACTTGCATCCTACGATTATTGCACACGGGGGATGTGACTGGAATAGATCCTGTGTTTGTATCCGAGACCACTGATGATGATGGTTTCTGTTGATCCTTGATATGTCTGGTTCAGTAAATTTGAATGTGAAAGAATGCCCAAGAAAAACGAAGGTTCCTGAGTGCAGGCTGAACACCTGCTCTGAAATAATGAATAAGTTGAGGTCGTGGTAGGACCAAGATTGTTAATTATAGTTACAAAGATGTCACCGGCAGCATCCAGTAACCCTTTGTTTTGTTAGGGGTATAATGATCCATCAATTTACTGATTGCTATAGATTATTAAGCTCACATTACATGCGTAGAATCCCGTGTGCAAGAAGTAATGTTTAATCCTTGTTGGTGATGGTTTCATGTGACCCCTCCAGCCACTAGAGGCAGCTAGAGCACAAAACTATTAACTATTATTATTCTTGAATTAAATTGTCACCCAGAATCATCATGATAATTGCTTGAATCTCATTGAGGTCAAATTTTTTTACACCCCCTATCCTCTAAACGTTGTTGTTCAAAGTGGAGTTGGTGCTGAGAGAGAGGTCACTTTGTATCCATGTACAGTACTTTATGTGCTTTTTGTAGCGCCATGGCATGACCGTGTGTTTGTATGGTTTCAAGATCCTGAAGGCGCTTCAAGTAACTACAAATGTTGTCGTGTCCGTACAGGAGGAAATGTTGGCTTTACCGTGTGTAGGATTTATAAGCTACAGCGAGCAAACAAAGCCAACATTTCTGTAAAATATTTATTTGGGCTGGGTCAGTGTTTCCAGCTTGTTGATCTCGATATTGACATTTGGCCACAGGTCTTAAAATCATAACATCTAGCAGCTTGAAAAGTCAACTGCTTATATTTTGGCTTGGTCTCACGTAATCCTGAAATAATTCTTCCAAAGAAAATTCTGCTTGGAATCACGATTATTGCCAAAAAATACATTTGTGGGCTCTATAATAGCTATAACCAACGATTCTGTCTACTGTTAAATGACTCCTTTTGTCTTCATCTGGCCATGATTATTTTTTTAAAATATATGCAAAAATGCTGGATGGGAACCCCTTCTGTTAAATCAGATCCAAGAAAAACTTAATTCACACGTTGCGTACTTCTTCCAGGCGAACTGTTACCTCTTTATGGGCACATAGAAGCTGACCTAAATGTTCCCATTTAATTTGGTTGAATAAATAGTGGCACGCTATACCATGAAACCCATAATGCATTGAGCTTCTACTCAATGACGCGCAGTGCCCTCTTAACACCTGTTTATGCATGATGAACCTCTTGCCCTAGCACAATCCATGATCAGTGCTGCATTGCTTCTGAGATCGGGCACTTTCTGGGTTAATTTGATGGGGTAATATTTTGGGACTCAAAGGGTAGTGCAGCAAATGCATTGTTGTGTGCAGGCAGTCCTTGACTTGGGAACGGGTTACGTTTCCGAGACCCTGTTCCGTAAGTCCATTTGTTCCTATCTCACAACTCAATAGTTAATTGTATATTCGGTCAATGTTATAAAATATGTTATCATTCAGCAAAAGAGAGAAGCATTGTTAAACTCATAAATAAAAAATAAATTTCGTACTTTCCCATGTAATACGGTCATAAATACTATGTAGTAAATAAAGCATAAAATAAAGTAACGTGAAAAAAAAACCTTTTCTTTTCACTTCCATTGCGTCCTAATGCTGGCTTGCTTGTCGGAAGGGGCATTTCTAAGAGGAAAACTCATTACATCTCGTGGAGGATTGCTCCACCGAACAAAATAGTTCCGCGGTTTGGTTCATAAGTACGACCGAACATTTGCAAATCGGATGGTTAAAAAAAATTCCATCTTACGGCGGTTCATAAGTGTGGATGTTCCTAAGTCAGACGTTCGTATTTTGGCGACTTTGCCTGCATTGTATTTTTATGCTCCCACGTCTGCTCTCTGCGTTCACAAACTCACTGACTAGCGTGGTGAAGTATAGTAAGCAAACCCCCACAACCCGCACGATGTGGGGAGGCTCTCATTTGGCTGTGGATTAACAAAACGGCTGTACATGTGTGTACATGTACACAAACAATGACATATTTGGAGATTTAAATTCTAGTTTTAACAAAGAAGAGATACAACACCGCTCACATAAAATGTGTCTGCCAGTTTGAGTATAAACGGGCAATTCGGTAGGGTAACGCCGTTCCCCCATGCGCTGCAAACGCCAGCTGCGAGCCGAGCCTGAACTGATTGCCAGCCTCGGTCTCTCCGTGACCCCACTCTACCGGTGGAACGTGTTATGGCGGCCACAGGTGTCTGACCTCAGGCATCCCGTCCCCACCGACCAACTTGGCATGCAACCGCCCTCATCGCCACTGGCATTACTGGCGTTGGGTAAAATGGTGGGGGTGGGGGGCGGAGAGGCATACCTGGTGGAACGGGGCCACATGATCATAAAAGGCCGCTTGTCCGGGTTAAAATATGAGCAGACAATCAAAACCCAGAAATAGATTAGCTACCCAATAGAGAGCCAATTCAGTGGTCTCAAGGTAAAATATGATTACTTGCTCCAGTTCATAATTTCTAAGACCTTTTTACTTTCAGTAGGTGTTTGTGCATTCTGGGTTTCATGGTTAGATCAGCGCCCTCTTGATTTCGCCAAATGAAATAAAATAGCAATATGTTGAGCCATTTCTGTGCCAATAGAGAAAACATTTTTAAGGAAGAGGTGCACAATAGCATTCGAGTTTTTTTTGGTGTAATCGATGGAAAAAACTTGAGTTATAATACGGGTTGTCCAATGCCCTTTAGCTCCAAAGTGGGTAGCTAAAGTCATCTGAAGCATCAGGCATGTACATGTGTTACCACGTCAGTTGAATTACTGGATGAAGGCCTCCCCACACTGCCCAGACAGTTTGGGTTATTTATCTATATTTTACCACGCTCGTTTTGTTAAAGTTGATGGTGGCATAAGTACAATACAAGTTTCGATTTTTCTACACTGCCCTCTCCTGCCCACAATGCCTACTGCACGTATTTTGTGTGAATGTGATCACCCATCCAAGCACTAGCCAGGCTCAACCCTGTTTTAGTTCCCAGGTCTGATGGGATTGCATGCCTTCCGGGTGATTTAGTGTGCGGAGTGTGAGACTAGAATTCCGTCACTAAGGAGATGCCCTGTGGCGATGTATACTCTGCCTCGTTGGCTGTAGGTGACGGCTGCATACTGCTCTGTGTGTTATCACAGAGAGGAAGAGAACGAATCTAGGCCGATGTTTAGTAATGCCACAATCTAAGGAAAACCCCAAACGAAACGCAGTCATCGAGCAAAGTGTGAATTTGCAGAAGCACTAACTTCACTTTTCATGTGTTGTTCTGTACGATATGTGTATTCATATTATAATGTTATATCATATGTCGAATTCAGGTAACCTACCGTGTGTATATTCTTACAATAGTTTCTAGCTTCGGCAGCAAAGTGTGTATAGAAACACCCTGGCCGTGAGATTAGTCGAATTTGTCGGCGTACATGCCGTTGATGTATGTTCAATCTCTTGTGGGCTTGTGTCGGCAGTTCGTTATAAGAGGAGGAGGCTGAAGTTGCCGTGTAATTGTGCATGCCCACGCATGTGGAAATGTACAGTTTGGCTGGTGCCTTTTAATTGTGGCTGAGCAACTCTCGCAACGAACGTAGTAAGCAGCCAAAATTTTGGATTAAGGCGTCCAAAGCTGCCCAAACAACTCTACCTTTTAACGGTAGTTTAAAGGCTATGTCAACATGGCCACAATCGTAATCGCATTATTATGCGATTTGCATAATTTGTTGCTTTTCTGATGAGGTAGTAGCTTAGCTTCGTATTGTTTTGAATTAAAGACCTAGCATCACTGTGCTCATATGCATGACATGGTCGCAGGGTTTAAAGTTACACACAGCTGTGATGCTGCTATCATCTCTCGCGCATAAACTTCTTGTACGTTTTGTACCCAATTGTTGGCGTTTTTGGAAAATCCTATGGCCCAGTAAACTTACACAAAAAAATGTAGTGTGATCACGTGCGCATATATATGGCAGTGGTAAAATGTGGGGTTGCCTCTGTTTGAATGTTTCTTCTTAGCCAAGCGACTTTGGGGTTACATTCGCGTGAACTGGGGTTTTCCAGTAATGCTGGGAGCAGTCACATCCTGTTTGTATTCGCCGTGACAGTCATATTGGGGTGTTGCAGGATGTTTTAAATGTCAAACGGAGTCTCGCTGAGTGGTGACTGATCCTTACAGCACAGTTTAAAAAGAGAGCTCTGCAAGAGGTTAATGGAATCTCTCTACACGTGGTGGTTGCGCAATACATTTTTGGAGCCGGAATGATTCGTCACTTTAAAAAAAAATTGTTAAGCTCGTTGTACACGCATCACATTTTTTTCTCGGAAGAAGTAATGGTTTTGACGTGCGTGGACATTTTTTTGAGGCTAATTGTCAAACGAAATGACACCAGCTTGTTTCAACGAGGCATACATAACAGACTAGACGTC